TACCATACTTTTAATTTGCATACAGTTTCGTTCCTGTCTAGTTTGTTTTGGGGATTGGTGTTGAGAATGTAGATGGTTTTTGTTCCCATTGTTTTTGTCTGGGGCTGAGAAAACAGGGTGACTTGAGTTCATAGAGCATGGGGACTACCACTGTGATGCAGAAGGGCACGTGCTGCCAAAAGAAGGTCCCGCTCCTTTGTTGCAGTCAGATGTATGAGTGCAGATGGCTCAAGAAAACTGAAGTTTGTGGGGGTGTCACCAAACTGCTTTCAAACTAGGGTTTGTAGCTAGTTTGTTTAACTACATTTTGCACTGTCTGTAGTTTGCTGTCATGTCTGAATTCACAGATCCAATTAGTGGAGTAGCACTACCTCTTGAGACTACGTTGGCCATAAAAGCCAGTGATGGGGGGAAGATGGCTGTTGGGTGGTGGAGAGGAGTCAGAAAGCAGATAAACTGGAATTTATGCTAAGGATTTGTTATTTAAGTCTTTTTAGTCTAACAGAGCTTATTACATAAACCATGGTATAAACAATCTGTGGTCTATCTGAATGCAGCTCTTATGTACTGGAAGTTAAGTTTCTTTAACAGATACGGCCCACAAATATTCATATTTTTCTTCTCAATCATGAAGGTTATAAACTTGCTTCCCCCACCCCACCCCACAATTATGGCATAGAAACTCAGGAGCCTAAAGCAGCAACCAGTTTCAGCTTTGCAAATTTATTTCATGCTCTGTGGTATGTTTGTGGCTGGCCCTGTTTTAGTGCCCTCCAGCTATTTATTATTTATGAATTGATGAGATTTTTTTATCCTGCATTTTCATTTCCATGCTCCAGCAGGCACACAAAATCACCCTTACACAAAACAATTGCAACAAATGAGTGTCCAATTATAGCAAACCTAGAGAATCATTATACGGACAATGATGCTTGATGGCATGGCAATTGGAGAGACAAAGGGAGAGAGCTGCTTTTGGACTCTCCTTCTGCTGGCGGTTGGAGTTGTCCTGTTATGTCACCCCCATGCAAAGAGAAGTATCGACCCTCAGGCTTAGCTAAAAATCCCTTCACCAACATCACTGTGAAAACCAACACATTCCCCACCCTTGTTCAAGATTGCTAAGTACATTCTTTTTAAATAATTAAAAATGCTGGAAAAGGGAGAGGGGGGTCCCTGATATTTTGGAGCCTATCAGACTGCAACCAACTGTCCTAGCCAAGATGTTGCATAAGCCAAGAAATCTGTTCTGTCAGTTTCAAGGGAAAACAAAAAATGGCAAGTGTAGCGGTGGAGCTCTAGTGTCCCCGCAGGTTCAAGTAGCAAAAATTAAATCACAAAGCAATATGAAGATACAACATAATATGCAGTGTCAATGTAGACATTTGTGGGGCCTTATGTACTACAGTGCAATGCCACGAGGGGAACTCTTATGCATTTATGTTCTGCTCATCAGAGTAAATGATGTTGTAGTGTAGTAGTACCATGCCACGATGTACAGAGTGTCTGATGGTGAAAGTATACTGGTTGTTCTCTTTTATGGAAGACAACTACATCATAACAGAACCATCTTCATCGCCCCTTTCAAGGCATATTCTTGAAATGTCAATTGGAAAGAAGGGATAATATAACATGTCTCTCTCTTCCACCTTCATGTTCAAAACTCCTTCTATCCTTACTCTCTGTGGGTAGATTTTTATGTGTGTATGAGATAGTAGTTCTGTGGTAGAGGAGAGTGGTAATCCATGCAAGACTGAGTCTATATGGGGAACATTCAGCAGTTAACACTGATAGGTTTGTGGTGTGATCTATACAGTGCATGCATCTGTATATTAGCACTATCTATGCACTTTCATGTACTTTCCCACCCAATGTACATGGTTGGCAGTCAGAAATGGGACTCTGGATCTTCAGAACAGTGGTGTGGGGAAAATATTATGCAGACACTTGACTTGTGCTGCCAGAGTCCATGTATTATCACATCAGCCAGTTTAACTGTTTCCTACACATCTGTCTTTCCCTTTGAGGTGCAAATAATCACATAGGTATCACTCCACTGTCTTTTCTCAGAAGAAATATTTTTCCTAATAGCATTCACATAAACTGCTATTCACTTCCTTAGGTCTACATAATACCCCTTCCAATGGTTCCAAGGGCTCTTTTGATTCTGCAGTTCACAGTTGACCTTTATTCAACTTCTCATACAACCCAAGCAGCTGCTGGTGTTAGTGCCATTCCATAGAGGTTGCCAATAAGAAGATGAACTATACAGAAGCAGAGGGCCAGATTCTAGGCTGATGTAAGATAGGTTTGCTTTAGTGACTTCAGAGTGAGCAGTTAGCACCAGGCAATCATCAGACTCAAACCACTTTCAGTGTCTTTTTGAAGTCTGAATATTTGGTCAGACATGATCTCTACTATGGAGTTGTCAAGAATACTGCTTAGTGGGTGTCAGCAATGCCCAATCTCCAGAACCTCTACATTTTATAGGGCTGCCTTTGTTTCCCAGTGTCTTTTTCTCTTCTCTCCTTTTCTCAACGGCAACATTGTTTCTTAAGCACCTTCAATAACGAAGCAAAAAACAAACAAACCTGACCTGAAAAAGCGGTGTGTTTCCCAGAGGCAACAATATGCACCATGAAGTGCCGTTAACTGAAATTCTTGCAATTTTTCAGTGCTTGAATGCACGGAGGCTAACTGGTTAACTTACTGCATATATGGTGCAAACATGCACTTTAATCATGTGCTGTTTTTGAAATGTATACTATAATAAGAAAGAAGCCAAGGAGGAAATGAGGTATTCCCCAGCAAGTTCCATTCGGCATTGGGGAGGGGGTGTCCTCCAATAATCTTCACTGAATCACTTTACTGAAGGAGGGGAACAGTTATTTGCTAAGCTTATATGGCAGTATTCTACTAATGCAATAGCCCCTTTCTTACATGGAAGTGTCTGGATAATGTAGGATAACGATTACAATGTGTTCCTGTGTCTGAGACATCATTAAAGTATTTATGTGAAATTAAAAGTGGATTGTGCTTGCTTCCTCAAGAGTTATTCCATGTAGATGGTGTAACACAGCTTTCTCACTCACACAGATTACCTGCCTACCACCCTCCACAACATTTCTCCTACAGTTCCAGGGTTGCAGGTCGGTCAGGCTTTCACATATCTACCCAGCCCCCTTTAATAATTGGCCCTCACTCAGACGCTGTATGGCGTTATTGGGGTTAGGGACTCACACACTGTTTCATTCACACATTGCCATCATTATTCGTATCCTAAAATATATACTGACTGAGATCTTAGCCCAGGGTGGGGGAAGTATTTCTTTCCCTGAGACAACCAGCCCACAAACAAGGAGTTAACTTTTATTTATGGTTTGAACATAACACTGAAGAAAGACAGGTAGAGGTTATAATGTTTCCTTTCAACTGAACTTTTGAACTGTTTCCCTGTCCCAGGATTTGGGATCCTTTGTTAGAAACTGTGACCTTTTTTTTTTCTTAGTCAGCTTTAAGCTGCTCTTCACAGCTTCAGTCAGCCAGAGTCACTCTCAACTCCCCAACTGCTGTCTTCAGTTCCCCTTAACTGCTGTTTTTCAACTGTCACTCTCGCATTCCATCAGCTCCCATTGGCCGCTCTTAGGAAGAGGCAGAACTTGAGCTGTCTATCGCATATGGATTCCAGTTTTTGTCTGGTAAACAGCTCTCTGTAGTAAGCCTATCCACAACAGCTGTAGCTGATGGCAGAGAACCGAGGAAACATTTTGGAGCATCAATGGTTCCCTATCATTCTACCATCCACTCCTGTCAACTTTTTGTTCCCTTAACACAGAGTGTGGGCAACTCTGTTCAGACAGACAGTGGAGCCAAGAAAACACAGGATTTTTTTGGGTCTTCCTTCAGTTCTGCCTAATGAGGTGAGACTGGAATCATTTATGGATCTCAGTCAAACCAGATGAAATGCTGGATGTACGTGTATGCATGTATAGGCTTCTGACCTTTTTTCCTTTTAAAATGGCTGGGACTTGGGACATCAATTTATGTCAGGCCGGCAGCATAGGGGTTATTACC